CCACTGTTTCTAACTTCACCCCACACACTTCTTGCTTAGAGCTTCGGTGCTGCTGCTCCTTCTGCCTGACCGAGTCTTCACTCAAATATCTGCATTTCTCTCCATCACTTCAATCAGGTCTCCTCACAGTGTTATCAGAGCAGAGGCCCCCGGCAGAGGAAAAGCCTCCCCTCCCCGCCCCCCACGCTCTCTGCTCCGCTTATTTCTCCAGGGCACGGATCAGGCAGTAACAGTAGTTGTCCATTTGTCAGACCGCGCACACTGGAGTGGAAGTGCCTGGGGTAGGATTTGACTCTCCCTCCCTGCCATCTCCCCAGCATCTAGAATGGTGCCTCCAACACATAAATGTGTGTTGAGTGAGTTGCTTTGCCAAGGGGCCCGAGGAGATCATCAGAGGGATTGAGACCGCAGGAAGCTGTCAGTAGCAGGAAGCTTTGGGAGGGTTTGGACTTTCACTGCCTGCAGGACTGGGGGTGGGGTGAGATTTAAGGCAACTTCATCAGGATTTTAGGGGGAGGGTAGGCTCCCAACTGGCATATGAGTTCATGTGAAACAGGTCAGCCCTGGCCAGTGTGGCTCAGCTGGTTGGAGCATTGTCCAGTGCACTGGAAAGTCGAGGGTTCGATTTCCAGGCAGGGCACATACCTAGGTTGAGGGTTCTATCCCTGATTGGGGCAAGTAAGGGAGGCGACTGATCAATGTGTCTCTCTCACATCGATGTTCCTCCCCGCCCCCTTCCTTCCTCCCCATCTAAAATCAATTTTTAAAATGTGAAACAGATCAAGTGGGAGCTGGTGAGGTAGAAGCAGGGTGGGGCCTGGTGTCCCACTGCCTTCGCCTTCTTCCCCCTGGCTCTTCAGTCATGGCATCAGAGCAAACCCTAGACGTACCAGCGCTGGCTACCCAGTGGCCTTCCTTGTGTCTGGGACCCCTGGACGGTGAACCCGGAGACTCCTGCCACCACAGGAAAGTTATCTCTTACACTCTGGAGAGGGGGCTGGAGACTTGCTGTGGGGAACCAGGGACCAGTCTGCAGGCCTGGAGGAGACCCTGGGTCTCTGCATAGGTGGGGTCGATGCATCAGAGTGAGCCCATGACAAGGGCGGGGGCTCATATTCTGAGAGTCCCAGATGTGTCATGAATGGAAATATGAGGGCATTGTCCTTGGTGTTCACCCCACACCTCTCTGAGCTGCCACCACTGACTTCCTGTCTCTGGTCACGTACTGTGTGATATGCTCCTAAGAAGAAAGAGTTGGGATGGACAATAGTGTGAGGACAGGGAGGAAAGAAAGAGCTTGGGAGAAGTGGAAAGACAGAAGAGAAGAGGCAGAAGGAAAAAGTATGGAGAGAGGGAATTAAAGCAAAGCCCCAGAGCAGGAGATGCGGGAGGAGATCAAGACAGAAAGCAAAAGAGTGACAGGAGAAAAATTCTGAAGTGTTCCAAATTAAATGACAGCTGCCAGAGGGTAAGAGAAAGGGGCGAGAATCATTAACCAGCCAGGTAATAGCTGCGGGCCGATGCCCAGGAGACGGCTGCGTCCGAGCGTGTTGGGGCTTCGACTCAAGCTCCAGGCATCTGCGGCCTCCACTGGCCACCACCGCGTCCCGAATCTGCACAAACTCTCAGACTCTCGCCTGGAACCGATCAAGAGCAGTGACTATTTCGTCCTTACGGACTGTGCGCTCTCCTAGAGCTGCCCCCTCCGCCTTTTCCCACGCCCCTTATCTGGAGCCAGTGTAAAGTCTTTCCAAAGGACTTACATCTTCCTTCCCCAAAACATAATGTGTAGCATTTATAAACATAGTGTAACTCCAGGACAGCCACAGGCTTGTCTTCTCCACCTGGCCCTGCTGCTGGAGGTTTAGACTTCATGCCCCGGGACCTGTCCTTTTCTGATGGCTCAGTCAACCCTTTCTTTTAAAAAGGCTTTCATCAGCCACAGAGGTTTTTATTTAACAAGAGAGAATTGGCAAAGAAAAGCAAATGCAGAGAAGTCAGGGATATACAGAACATTACGGCTGGGATGAGGTTCGGTCTTGGTAAAAGACTGGAGAGGTCGGAGGGCAGCTCAGACAACGCATCCTTGGCCTTCCTCTTGACACCCTGAATCTCCCTCCCAGGAGCCCCACCTTGTTTCTGGCTCCTCAGGGTGGGGCTCCCTTTGTTTCCTAGGGGTGTTCAGTCCCAGATGGTGAGCCTGTAAGGGGTGGGGTGCTCTGAATGCCCCACTAATGGCCATTAATGACTAAGGCTCCCTGCTTCTTTCTGCTGGAAGGACCTGCTGACTCAGAGGGTTAGAGGATCAACCCTGAGGGTCACGAAGTAGAACTCAGGAGTCAGTCCTAGGGATTATAGGTGGAGAGGAATCCATCCTGGAGGGGAAGGGCTTGCAAAGACCAGAAATCTCTGATGTCAACCCTGGGGAAGTTTCAGACCTGCTGAGAGGAACAGCTGTCCTGCGTAGGCTGAGGCCCTGCACCCGGAACGGCCTCCAGAGGAGGACCTGTTTGCTCTTAGTCCTTCAGCTTCCCACTTGCCCGCTGCACTAACTCTGTGTCCCTGAAGGGCATCTGCAGGTGTTCAAGTGTCCACCTGCGGCCCCAAGTCACCCTTCTCAGAGAGAAAAGGTTTGTGAAGGGTCTGGAAGTTTGAGAATGGATAGGTGGGAAAAAAGCAAGTACAGCAAAATATAACCACGGTAGAATCTACGTGGTGCGTATGTGGGTGTTCACTGTACAATTCTTCCAATTTTTTATGTTTGAACTTTTTCATATAAAATACCAGGGGAGAGAGAAAAAAATTGTCAGGCAAGTAGTGGGCACTCCTAAGTATAAGATGTGGAGGGTGTAATCCATTTCTAATGGCTGGAGAGGCAATGTTATTCTGAGAGATGACAGATTGCAGGTGAGAGCACCTGCAAACATCCAATAGAAGAGGGAGAACCTTAGGCCACACCAGAGGTGATTTAGTAAGCTTGCCCACCCAAAGTTGTTGGCCCTTTGCTTGGTGATTTTTTTCTCAAGTTTATTTTGCCCCTCCTGAGATCTGGGCCTTGGCCTAGAGTGGACCCCACCCTGCCACCTGTAACCCTTGAGGGGAAGGGCAGGATAAGATGTTCCAGACCCCACCTGACAACTGACCCTAAGAGATTGATCATGTTTGCCCAGGAGGTGAGGTTCACACGATAAAGAGCAGGGGGAGGGCTTAGACCTACTATAAAAGATCTGGAGGATTCTGGGGGTTACTTTGCACCTGAAACTGCCAGGTAAGGGGTGACAGAGGCTGGTCTAAGAGGAGACGAGGATGCCTGGATTTGAGTTAGGGGGAATTCAAGCTGAGCAGGAGAAGAGCCTGCCTGGATTGAATGGCAGAGAGGAGACCTGGGTGTCAATAAACCGGGGCATCTGGATCTGAGCTAATTATAGGTGCATCAATATCTGGGCCTCAGCTGAAGAACTGGGGACACTTGGGATGCTCAGGGGCATGGACAGGGCCAAATTTGTGTTAGTGGAGAAAGAATTATGACAAATAGACTAGGCACCAGGGATCTAATATCTTGAGCTAGTTCTAACTCCTACAACTTGTCAGTCTATCCCACCTCCACCAGCACTGCTTGTAAACTAGTGTTGGCACAGTCTCTTCTCTCACTGCCTTCTCTCTGCAGGGGACTCAGGGACACACCTCTAAAGTGCTCTTTTCCTTCTGAGACCAGGGTGAAGCTAGGAATTTAAACTATGCCCCAGATGCCCATAAGCCAGGCCAATCTATCCCGGGTGGACTTCAGTTAGGTTTTCTCAGACTCCTGGTTTGGTAAAGTCAACCATCTCTATGGTTTGGAGATTTCCTCTACTTCTTTAGAAAACTCCTTTCCTGCTTTGTGCCCAGAGGGAGCAGCACTCGACACAGCCTAATCCAGATACAGGGTTAGGATTGATCTCCTGGCTCGGGACAGAAGAGGAGGGTTGGCTACAGGCAGACCAGGGAGAGGCAGAAGGGTTGAGGACAAGTGTCTGCAAGGAACAGGACTAGAGGCCACGCCACCCTTTCAAAGCCAAGACTGGGTCGGCTAGGTCTGAGTCTCAGGTGGAGGACAGGGCTGCCTGGGTAAATGAAGTCCCGAGGAAAAGGGCACGTCTTCACTTTCTCCTCTCTTCCCACGCAGCCCCAGGATGTTGACCATTGCTCTTCTTGCCCTTCTTTGCGCGTCGGCCTCCGCCAATGCCAGTAAGTGAGAAGCCGGGAGCCCAGGACCGGGGTCACTGCTGGTGGCCACGGCTTCAGAGGCAGGCCCGGGGCGGTGGGAATGGAGCTGTGGGAGGAAGGGAGAAACTGAGTGCTCAGGGGATTTCTCGCTCCATCTCTTCCTTTCCCCTGCAGTTCAGGCGAGGTCCTCCTCCTTCAGTGGAGAGTACGGAGGCGGTGGCGGACAGCGCTTCTCTCATTCTGGCAACCAGCTGGACGGCCCCATCACTGCCATCCGAGTCCGAGTCAACAGATACTACATCGTTGGGTAAGATTCTCTGAGTTTCTGTGGCTTGGGGACCTTCTGGGGTCTTACTAACTTGGGAAGTTCTCAGTCAGCCTGGGTCACACCTGTCTCAATCACCAAGTCCCAGGGATAACATGGTATGCAAAAGTTGCTAGAGGCTTGGATTAGAGACCTGTGCTGCTGAAACTTCTGCAACCCGAACATGAGAGACCCTGGGTAAATCACATACCATAAACTCTCAGGGGCCTGGACGTTGTCTAGTTTAGTCCCCAACTGAGGTTTATTTTTTCACTTTTATTTATTGATTTGAGAGAGAGAGAGAGGAAGAGAGACAGAGACAGAGACAGAGACAGAGAAAAACATGGATTTGTTGTTCCACTTATTTATGCATTTACTCATTGCTTCTTGTATGTTCCCTGACCTGGGATCAAACCCGAAACCTTGGCATATCAGGACAACGCTCTAACCAACTGAGCTACCTGGCTGAGGCCCCACCAGAGGTTTAAATCCCCTCTGGCATCCTCCATCTTTGCATGATGCCTCTCCCAAAACATGTATCCTCCTGATCCCAGATCCACGTCCTGGGACAGCAGAGACAAGACTTTTTCCTCATTGGAGCCTTTCAGATGTTTGAGAAATTGCTTTGTTTCTTCCCAAGTAGGGGTAGGGGCATAGTGGGAGTCTAGACTTCAAGCTCAAGCTCTGACACTGTCTAGGTGATTCTGGGCAAGGTGTTTTCCCTCTGTGAGGCTGTTTGTGGTCAAAAGGAGGAGTTGAATTTCCCTGTATGATCTCCAACGGCTCACCCAACCCTCACATACTGTGGCACTGGCAGGAGACTTATCATCCCTGTCACCAGTTTGAAGGTCTCGGGGTACAGGCCAAGAGGTCCGGAGTTCTCTTCACCCTACTCAGTGTCTCCTTTCCTGCCCTCCTTGCCCAGTCTCCAGGTGCGCTATGGCAAGGTGTGGAGTGACTACGTGGGTGGCACCCAGGGAGACCTGGAGGAGATCTTCCTGCACCCTGGGGAATCAGTGATCCAGGTGTCTGGCAAGTACAAGTACTACGTGAGGAAGCTGGTCTTTGTGACTGACAAGGGCCGATACCTGCCTTTTGGAAAAGATACAGGCACAAGTTTCAATGCTGTCCCCCTGCACCCCAACACCGTGCTACGATTCATCAGTGGCCGATCTGGCTCCCTCATCAATGCCATCAGCCTGCACTGGGACGTCTACCCCAGTGACTGCAGCAGCTGCTGAGCCTCAGCCTACTCCTAGGCAGGGCAATGCAGTGGGGGGAGGGGGGAGAACCCCCTTACCACTAACCCCATCCACATGACTCAATTAAAACAATAAAGGACATGGCTAAAGCTAGTGTGTATGTGGGTGTCTGCAGCTGGGATCTGCCTCCTTACTCTGGGTGTGGATGTGCGAGTCTCATTCTTGGCTCTCTGCAGGATGTTAATCTGGGGATGAGTGGGAGGATGAGGGGAAGGTGTGAAAGTCTTGGGCTTTTCTTTATTATTTATCAAAAGGAGATAAGATTCTGATTTGCACCAACTCATTTTCAAGGATAGCTCTTGAGAGTGTTTACCCAAATTGGAGTTCTGAGGCCGAGGGTAAGGCCCCGACGTGACTTACTGCCAAAACCCGAGATGCTCCACTCTCCAGCCCTCCCCTTCCCTCCCCTCCCCTCGTCCTCCCCTTGTCCTCCCTTCCCCTTGAGATACCACCTTTTCACCAAGGTTGTCACCTCACTCTCTTGACCTTACCCACTCACTATATGTGGGTGACCTGGACCATTATCCCTTGTTCTTTCCCAGAACCCACCTGCCACCTAATGTGTCAAGGCCTCTGCCTGTCACCCCAGCCTAGTTCCTCCCCACCTTTACCCATAAGCCCTGGTGTCCTTGCTTAGCTCCTTTAGAACTGAGGCTCCTTCCTTAAGAAGCCACCACCTCCTCACAGCTTCTATGCTGCCAATACCTCCTCAAAAAAGGGCATTCCAAAGTGGGGAGATTTCCACTGTGGGTTTCCATGAACATAAGGGATGGGTTAGAGTTCAGGGGAAGCATTAGAGTGACCGGATAGATTCAGCAATATAAAGATGCTTTGAAAATAATTCTTAGGACTCTAGTTCCAAGTCCTAAAACATTTCTTCCCAATTAGACAAAGATAACAGTCATGTACATGTAATTTTATAAAGAAATATTAACATCATAGAAATGAACTCATGCCTAGTCTATTTTTATAAAAGTTCCTTTGTCTTAAACAATTAATTCCATGGAATGGAATATAATGTCTCTGTAATTTTCTTTATTGAGATGTAAATCACATAATATAAAATTCACCCTCTGTGCCTTTTCAGTGGTTTTTAGTATATTCACAGATTGAACAACAATCACCACTCTCTAGTTCCATAATACTTTCATCACCTCAAAAAGAAACCCAAGCCCTAGCGGGTTTGGCTCAGTGGTTAGAGCCTCGGCTTGCAGACTGAAGGGTCCTGGGTTCAATTCCAGCCAAGGGCATGTACCTCTGTTGGAGGCTGGATCACTGCCCCGGTCGGGGCGTGTGCAGGAGGCAACCAAGCGATGTGTCTCTCTCACATCCATGTTTCTCTCTCTCTCTCTCCCCCCCCTTCCACTCTTCTAAAAAAGAAAATCAATGAAAAAAATATCCTCGGGTGAGGATTGACAAAAAAGAAAAAAAAAAG